GATTGAATAATAGGTCTGTGCATTCGTTTGCACCTAAATTACAAAAATGTTATTAAATTATGCGCTCATCTATTTCATTCTTTCAACATACAGAAGCATTCCGGACGAATTAACATTCCGGAATTGGAAACATTCCTTTTTTTTTTTCTTCTCTAAAAAACGAAAGAATTTTACTCAATTAAAATCAAATGTAAGTAAAATTAATGTACAGATAGCAAAGTAAAATTAACAGCAATCAAATTTATTCCTTATCATTTCAAAATTATCATCAGAAAATCATATCATTGATTTAATTAATCATCTAATCATGATAATTTATCAGTGTAAATATTGTTGATTAAAAATTTGAGAAAAAATTCAACAAAAAAAAAAAAAGAAGAAAAAGTGATGAGAAGTATGAAAATAGTAATAGAAAAAAATAAAATATTTTAATTATCAATTTTTTTTTTCCTTTTTATTTTTATTTTCTTCTTAATAAAACAAAAACAAAAAAAAAAAAAAAAAGTAAAAGTATAAAATGAATTAGTAAAACGAACGATTTTAAAAAAAAAAAATGCATTAATTTACAAAATAATAATAATAATTTGATAAGATAATAAAAAATTTATTTAGTTAAACAAATAAATAAATAATTAATAAATTTAAAAAATTATTATGACAATTTTTTAATGAAAAAAAAAAAAAAGAAAAGAAAAGATAGAGAAAATGAAAATAAGAAAATGTGTAGATTAAAAAATTATCAATGTGCACAGGTAAGTAATCAAAATGATCGATGGTTTCATCAATTTTTTTTTTTGGCAATAATCGAAGGAATGAAAAAATGCGACGAAATAGGTAAACGAAGAGAAAATAAAATTTTGAAAAAAAAAAATGAAAAACCAAAAAAATGAAAAAAAAAAAAAAAAAACGAAAAAAGCTAATTAAGAATAGCATTATGACATTTTGTTTTTTTTGTTGTAATCTATGGAATATTTTGTCTTTTTTCAATTTAAAAAAAAAAAAGAAAATTTTTTTTTTTGAAATTAACAAAAAAAAAAAAGAAAAAAGGAATTTCCACTAATTTTTCTTATCAAATTAACTCAATTCTCGAGAAAAGACAAAAAAAAAATGGAAGAGCAGGAAGTTCATTTACGAAATGAAATTTTTACCTTCTTTCTCTCAGGTATTTATGAATGAGCAATTAACCTTAGATGGTTTATAATAAAGTTTGGCAAAAAAAAAAAAAAAAGTTAAGTGAAAAAGTAAAAATGATGTAAAAAGTAAAGAAGAAAAAAAGATTTTAAAAAGTATTTTTAAAAAAAAAAAAAAAAAAAAAGAGATAAATGTAAAAAATAAAATAATAACAAAATATGGAAAATATTATAAAAATAAATAAATAAATGCTAATGAGAAATAAATAATTTAAATAAGAAAGAAAGGATTAAATTTTTACATTTTTTTTTTTTTTTTTTTGAATCTCGAAGAATTACATTTGAATGAGAAAAATTAACAAATTGAATGAAAAATAAAATAAATTTAATTAACCATTTCTCGTTTCACTTGTTTTTTCTTCTTTTCATTTTATGTATTATTTACTCAAAATGATAAAAAATGAAATTCAATAATTATTATATAATTTATCAATTTATTTATTATTATTTATTCATAACATCCAAAAAAAAAGTTTTTTTTTCCAAATTCAATTCATTTTGAATAAATGAAATTTTTCAATATGCAATCAAATATATTTCACACTTATATTATTCAATTATTAATTTTAATTTTAATTTGAAAAAGACAGAAAATTGTAAAATGAAAAAAACTGATATTAAATTTTGATTACAAATTTATTCCATCTTATTATTTTGTTTAGCAGGAATTAAAAAACATCAAAAAAAAAGCACAAATATTTCACAAAAAATTGAATAATATTTTTTTTTATTTTTAATTTAAAAAAGACAAAAATTTTTAAAATGAAAAGAATTGATACTAAATTTTGATTACAATTTTTTACCATTTATCTTCTTATTATTTTGTTTAGTAAGAATTAAAAAACATTAAAAAAAAAAAAAACAAAAATTTCACAATTATATTATTCAATTTTTTAATCTTAATTTTAATTTAAAAAAAAGAAAAAAAATTGATATTAAATTTTGTTTACAAATTTATTCCATCTTATTATTCTATTTAGTAAGAATTAAAAAAAAAAACAAATATTTGACAAAAAATTGAATAATATTTTAATTTTAATTTAAAAAAAGACAAAAATTTGATATCAAATTTTTGTTTACAAATTCATTCCATCTTATTATTCTATTTAGTAAGAATTAAAAAAAAAATTTTTTAACCAAAATTCCATTGAATGATCGAACACATATTTAACTGTCAGACAGACTTAGCTAAAACCATTAGCAATTTATCTGTGTAATAAATCATTTTTGCTTTTTTTTTTTTTTTTTTTTTTTTTAACAAATGACAGAAATTATTTCGAAGTATTTCAAACTTCGTTTCTTTATTTTATTTTTTTTTTTTGCTTTCGATTTTTGATTTTAAAAACTATTCATTTGGTACTAGTGTACAGAACGGCACTTAATATTAAGAAATAGCCTAATAGAGTGTGAAATTTTGTGACAATTGGTGATGGAAATTTGATGTGTGTATGTACAATATTAGTAAATTTTAAAAATTTAAAATTTTGAAAATGAAAACGAAAAAGAAAAAAAAAAAAAAGGAAAGAAGAAATATAGCTAAGAAATTAATATTTGCTTAGTTTTTTTTTTTTTTGAAATTGACTCATTTAATTTTTTTTTTTTTTTTCACAATGATAAAAGAATTTATTTATCATTTTTTCTAATTTTTAACATTGCTTTAAATTTTTTTATTTTTTTTTTTTTAAAAAAAAACTACTATGATAAATATAAAATATAAAAAAGAAAAAAACATTTTAATTGTTTATGATAATAAATTTTGTTTATGTAAAAAAATATTGCAAAAAAAAAAAAGAAAATATCATTTTAAAATTTAAAAGAAGATTAGATTTAAATACTTGAATCATTAGTAGCTTATTTATTAATTAGCTATTCTGCTTTTTTATCACACTGATTACTATTTGATAAGAATTGATTAGTATCATTTAATTATCAATGAATGCAGATGAGATATAATTAGTTGAATTAAGTGTTAAATAATTACAACCGGTTTTGCTTTTTTTTTTTTTTTCAATTATCTTATCAGAAATGATATCAAGAAATACTAAGAATGAGTACGTTGAGCTTTTCCTAGAAAAGTAGAATTTGCAAAATTAAAATGTTTAATTTGATTAATTGTAAATTCTAATAATAGCTTATCAAGAAATTTGTATTATCACTATCGATTTATTGATTTTTTTTTTTTGATCAATTCTAAGTATATTATAATAATGGAATAATTGAATAAATTATTTAATCTTATAAGAAACTGTTATCAGAATTAAATTTATGCTATGCATTAATCGTATTCTTTTTTTTTTTTTTTTTTTACTCAAATAATTCATATTTGATTAATATTCCTAATGATTACTATTTCTGATAATAATGCACTGTTAAATTTTGATAAATGACTTAAAATAAGTGAATTGCTTATTTGTTTCTAAAAATAAAAAAAAAAGACAAACAAATGAATAAACAATAAATAAACAAATAACAGTAAATGATTATTAATTCAAATTTTAATTTAAATAAAATTTCTTTTTAAAGTATTTTTTTTTTCTAAAAAAACTTTACTATTTGAAAAATTTTTTAATTTTAACTTGTACTTTTTATAATAATGAGCAAATATTGATTAAAAAAAGGAAAATGAGCAAAAGCAAAAGTGCAAATATTGTATTTTAGATATTAATTAACTTTCAAAAAACTAAATCATCCATTAATGAGATTATAAATAATGAATGTATTTCTTCGTTTTTTTTTTTTTTTTTTTTGTTTTCCTTTCTTTATTTTTTCTTTTTTTGAAGAAAAAAAGAGAAAAATTTTTAACAATGCTAAATTCATATTCATTCTTAGCAAAAAAAGAAAGAAAAGAAAAAAGAAAGAAAAGAAAATGTAAGCTATCAATAATTTAAGGTTGTTGATTTGTTTTTGTTTGGTAAAATGAAAGAAAAGCTAATTGTTTTTGTGTGAAAGCTTTAAAACTCCGTAAGAAGCATTTTTTACCAATTTCTTAACTTAAAAAAAAAAAAAAAAAAGAAAATGACAAAGAGAGAGAGAGAGATGGTAACTTAAAAGATACCAATTTTTTAAATTTCATTTTTTTTTTTTCGCTTTTTCATAAATTACAAATTTAAATCCTAAAAGGAAGAGAGAGAGAGAGAGGAAAAAAGATTAGAAACTAGAAAGAATACCAATTTTTTAAGTTTCTTTTTTTTTTTTCCCCTTTTTCATAAATTAAAAATTTAAATTCTAAAAGAGAGAAAGATTAGAAACTAGAAAGAATACCAATTTCTTAAGTTTCTTTTTTTTTTTTCCTCCTTTTTCATAAATTACAAATTAAAATCCTAAAAGGGAGAGAAAGAGAGAGAGAGAGAGAGATGAAAAAAGATTAGAAACTAAAAAGAATACCAATTTCTTAAGCTTCCATTCTTTTTCATAAATTACAAATTTAAATTCTAAAATTGAAAGCAGTTTTTTTTTTACTGCAGTAAAATAATAATTTAAAAAGAAGAGTAAAACAATAAACTATGCTAAATAGAAGGAGAAAAAAGAAAAAAGTAATTGAAAAATTTTAAAATAAATTTTGATTGAGTGGAAAAGTAAATGAATGAATGAATGAATGAATGAATTTATGCGGTAAATGTAAGCAAAAAAAAAAAAAAAAATTTTTTTTTCATTTGAGGTTTTAAAAAGAAACAAATCAAAATTGACAAACAAAAATTGGTATTAATGATGATAGCGGAATGGATAAAACGAGAAAAGAAGAAAATTTGCGGTAGCAATTGGTGTCCGTCCATAAGTCGGATGAAAATTTGCCTTTGAACGAATAGAAAGATGGAAGATGAAGGAGAAGAGGAAGAAGAGGAAGAAGAAGAAGAAGAAGAAGAAGAAGAAGAAGAAGAAAGAGGTCAGGAGGTAACAATCGGTCGTCAAATCAACATTTGTCGTCGGATAATCGGCAAATACTGATAGCTTCTTGCTTATCGGCAAAAAACAAAACAAAAAAAAAAAAAAAATTTTTTTTCCGTTTTATATATTTGGAACAGTTGCGAAGATTTTGTATATAGCAATTTTAGCTGAGTAATTAATAATATAGAAAGTGTAGTGTGTATTTTTGTCGTGTGGCGGTATTTGTTAAATGCGCTAAAAGGCAGTTGGTTGAATGATATAAAGAAGTGAGTTAAATGAAATGAAATGAAATAAGAATTTTGAAAATTAGAAAATAATTGAGCACAAAATTAAAAAAAAAATATAAAAAAAAAAACGTTACCGTTTCTTAAAGTTTATTAAATTAATTCAAGAAAAAAAAAAAACAATCTGTTTACAAGTAACTTATTTACAAGTAACGATGATTTAAATGAAAATTTTAATTCAAAGTGTATTTGTTTGATTAGTTTACTTATTAATTATTTACTTAGCTACTTGTTTATTTTGTTTGAATGAAAAGAAATGATGAATAATTTTTTTTTTTTGAATTACAATTATCTTCATTAATTACTATTTCATTTTCTTACACAATTCAAAATTAGCAGCAGATAAATGAAATGTTTAAATGAAATTTATCAATTATTTACTTGATTACTTGTTTACTTTCTTTGAGTGAACCAATGTTTTTTTATTGAATTACAATTATCTTCATCAACTACTACTTTATTCGTTTCAAAATTAGCAACAGATACCATTTACAATTATTTATTTGATTACTTTGTTTATTAATTACTTACTTGGTTACTTGTTTACTTTCTTTGAGTGGTTCAACATTTCTAATTGAATTACAATTATCTTCATTAACTACTACTTCATTCTTTATCAAAATTCAAAATTATCAACAGATCAATGAAATGTCTACATGAAATTTATCAATTATTTACTTAATTGCTTGTTTATTAATCACTTACTTGATTACTTTGTTTATTAATTATTTACTTAATTACTTGTTTATTAATTATTTACTTGATTACTTTTTTTATTAATTATTTACTTGACCATTTGTTTATTTTGTTTGAATGAACAGAAATGATCAATATTTTCTATTAAATTACAATTGTCTTTATTAACTACTACTTCATTCGTTATCAGAATGCAAAATTAGCAACTGATAAATGAAATGTCTAAATGAAATGACCAAGAAAGTCAGCTGTTGCTATTTAACACTAAACTAACTATTAACTATAAACCGTTGATTCAATTTATCTATTCTAATCCTTTCCACTTCTCATTTCACTTTTCACTCAAAAGAATTTAAGCAAAATAATCAATTAAATAATTAATAAGCAAAAGTAATCAAACAAACAACTAGTAAGCAAAAGTAATCAAGTAAACAACTAGTAAGCAAAAGTAATTAAGTAAACAACTAGTAAACAAAAGTAATCAAGTAAACAACTAGTAATCAAAAGTAATCAAGTAAACAACTAGTGATCAAAAGTAATCAAGTAAACAACTAGTGATCAAAAGTAATCAAGTAAACAACTAGTAAGCAAAAGTAATCAAGTAAACAACTAGTAATCAAAAGTAATCAAGTAAACAACTAGTAATCAAAAGTAATCAAGTAAACAACTAGTAAGCAAAAGTAATCAAGTAAACAACTAGTAAACAAAAGTAATCAAGTTAACATAATTTAGCATAATTTTAGCAAGTTAACAAATTTATCATTAGTATTTCATTTCTAAATATTTTTTTTTTACAAATTAGAAAAAATGATGGTTAAAAAAAACCAAAATTTTAAATTATCATAAAAATAGCTATCAGCATAATTTTTTTTTCATTTTTTTTTTTTTTTTTTTGTAAAATTCCTAATTTACCGTATTAGAATAAATTTAATATATTGAATTAAATTTGTAAAGACAACTATTAAAAGTACTTTTAAAAAAATGATTGGACATAGAAATAATTGAAAAAAAGTTCATGAACACAAAAATTAATGGTTGCTAATATATTTGCTATAATACTTTCCTTTTTTTTTTTTTTTTTTTTTTTTTTTTTTTGAAATTAAATAAATAATGTATAAAAGAATAAAAAAAATTGTTGCATAAATTTTTTAAAAAAAAAAAAATTGAATTTCTCATTAACAGAAAATAATTTGGAGTAATATTTAATCAAATATACACCACCTGTAACTATTTCAAATTGGTTTTTTTTTTTCCCTTCCAAGTTTTATCTATTAAAAATATTTAATTTTTTATTTAAATATGAAATGAAATTAATTTTTTTTTCTTTTTTAAATATAAATTAAAAATATTACTTCGTTCGTTTCTAATTTTTTTTTTTTTTTTTTTTGTTAATACAGTAGACCAAATGAGAAGAAAAGAGATTTTTTCAATTGATCGATTTCTTCTTTTTTTTTTTTTTTTTAAATTTCCTTTTTGTTTCCTTAATAAAATACAGTAAACGAAAAGTTAACAAAAGAATGTTTCTCTTTTTTTCTTTTTTTTTTTTTAAAGAAATAAAAGAATTTTAAATTAGTAATAACAAATTTAAAAAATTAAAATGTTTTTATATTTATATTGAAAAAAAAAAAAAATATATATATATTCCAAGGACAAAGTAACATTTAGTAAAAGTATTTGTCAATATTTTTCAATGATTAATTATGCAGTTTTAACTATCAGGCAATTAACCTTGACTGATCAGACACTCAATTAGTGCAAAGACAAAACGGAAGAAAAGGACGAAAGAGATTGGATTTGATTGATTTCTAAGCATACAAAACTTAATTAACTCATATCTTTTCATCATCTTTATCAACTCATCTTCAATCTTCCATTTGAATGAAAGGTCAAAATTTGATTAGAGGGCAAAAAAGTTCAAATGTTTAATATCATTTTGCTAATTGGTGTATTGAAAAGAGAAGAAAAATATTTTATTATCAGTTAATTTTATCAATTAGTATAGTTTAAAATATCGTTTACAAAAATATTTCAAAAAAATTTTGGTTTGATTGAAATACTTTCATTGATTATTATCAATTAATTTTATCAATTAGTATAGCTTGAAATATAGTTTACAAAAATATTTCAAAAAAATTTTGGCTTGATTGAAAAATAAATAAACTGAAATACTTTCAATGATATATTATCAATTAATTTCATCAATTAGTATAGTTTAAAATATCGTTTACAAAAATATTTCAAAAAAATTTTGGTTTGATTGAAATACTTTCATTGATTATTATCAATTAATTTTATCAATTAGTATAGTTTAAAATATCGTTTACAAAAATATTTCAAAAAAATTTTGGCTTGATTGAAAAATAAATAAATTGAAATACTTTCAATGATATATTATCAATTAATTTCATCAATTAGTATAGTTTAAAATGTCCTTTTAAGTAAAAAATATTTCAAAAAAATTTTGGTTTGATTGAAATACTTTCATTGATTATTATCAATTAATTTTATCAATTAGTATAGTTTAAAATATCGTTTACAAAAATATTTCAAAAAAATTTTGGTTTGATTGAAATACTTTTATTGATTATTATCAATTAATTTTATCAATTAGTATAGTTTAAAATATCGTTTACAAAAATATTTCAAAAAAATTTTGGTTTGATTGAAATACTTTCAATGATATATTATCAATTAATTTCATCAATTAGTATAGTTTAAAATGTCCTTTTAAGTAAAAAATATTTCAAAAAAATTTTGGTTTGATTGAAAAATAAATAAATTGAAATACTTTTATTGATTATTATCAATTAATTTTATCAATTAGTATAGTTTAAAATGTTTTTTTAAATAAAAAATATTCCAAAAAAATTTTGGCTTGATTGAAAAATAAATAAATTGAAATACTTTCATTGTTATATTATCATATCAATCACTCTCTCTCTCTCCCTCTTTACCTTCTTTAATTTCGATCATATTTGAAATTTGTAATAAATTGGGAAATTTTTAAATATATAATATTAAAAAATATAGTAAATGAGATTTATTTATTTTGATATGTAAAAGAAAAAAAAAAAATGAATAATAGTTTTCAATATTATTTATTTTATATTATCAAACAAAAATGTGTCTTTAGCATTAAAATTTAAAACTTTTTAACTAGCAAAAAAGTTTCATTAGAAAATTCTTTATCAAATCAAAATAAATCATTTATTCCCATTGAGTCATCATCGTTTATTTTCTTTTTGCTTGCAAAATGATTATATAAAAGAAATATAAGTTACATTTATATTATCACTGATAATTAACAATGATAATACAAATGTTTCAGCATTCATTCATTCATTCATTCACCCATTCATTCATTCATTCATTCGCCCATTCATTCATTCATTCATTCATTCATTCGTCCATTCATTCATTCATTCGATCACTTATTTTGATTATTCATTCATTCATTCGATCACTCATTTTGATTATTCATTCATTCATTCGATCACTCATTTTGATTATTCATTCATTCATTCATTCATTCGTTCGATCATTCATTTTGATCATTCATTCATTCATTCACTCATTCACTCATTCATTCGTTCATTCATTCATTTATTCATTCATTCAATCATTCATTCGCTCATTCGCTCATTCCTTCATTCCTTCCTTTATTTATTTATTTATTCTTTACCTCTAAATAATTAGTAATTCAAAAAAAAATGGATGAAGCAAAAAAGAACGAAAAAAAAAAAGAAATTTTTATCACAAAATTAATTATTCCATCAAAAATTAACATTTAATAATACTAATTTCAGGTCAAATAATATTTATTCAATGAAACAAAAAAAAAAAAAAAAAAAAAAATCAGAAAATCGGAAAATTAATGAATAAGAGAAAAGGAAAAAGGAATAATTGTGAAATGCGCGAACAAAACGGATTCATTCATTATAAATACGACGAAATAGTTCGATCATTTTTGCAGGAGAAAAAAGATAAGTAAGAATCGATCATTTTTCAAGGATTGTTCAGTTTTTTTTTTTTTATTCTTCTTCTTCTTCTCTCTCACTCTTTCTTCTTTCAACTTTTAAT